GGGTAAGGTTTGGCCTGCAAGCTATAATTTCTTGACTCCTATTCTTGCTCAAGACTGATCTAAGCTTCTTGACAGAGATTTCATGAAAAAATCTCTTTTATATCTTTACATCCCCATGCAACATCTAGCACACCAACCATGTATGCATAGGCACTCAATAAATATTTGTTGATGGAATGACCAATAAATAAATTATTTCAACTAACACTTATTGGGCATCAACTATGTCCTAGGCACTATTATAATCACTTGATATATGTCACTGAACAAAACAGAAATCCTTGCCTGTGAGGAGCTTACAATTTATAAATCTCTAACTCATATAGCATAATTATATGGGTTTCATATTGCTGCCATAACAAATTACCACAAACATGCGGGCTTAAAACAACATAATTCTGTTATCTTACTGTTCTGTAGGCAAGAAGTCCAACATCAGTCTCACCAGGCAAAAATGAAGGCATTAGCAGGGCTGCATTCCTATTTGGAGGATCTAGTGGAAGATTTGTTTCCTCGCTCATTATGGTTCTTGGCAGAATTCATTCTCTAAACACTCCCAGTATCTCAGATACTCTCAGTATTTCAGAACTAGCAACTGGGTGTTGACTCATTCTCCCGCTTCCATCTTTCTTTCTGACTACAACCAGGAAATGTTCTTCAATTTTAAGGACCCATGTGATTGGGTCCTTAAATTGGGCCTACTTGGATAATTCAGTATAATCTCCCCATCTCAAGATAACTGTAGTCACATTTGAAAAGTCTGTTTTGTCATGTAAGGTAACATATTCACAAGCGCCAGAGAGTAGAACATGGGCATCTTTTGGGGGATATTATTCTGTCTACCACAAATACCATCATAGAATTTTATATTAAATCTGATGAATTTGATCTTTGCCAATGGATCATACTTCTAGTGAGTCAATATATGATATAAATAATAAATTATTTAATTATAAATAAAATTATAAATTAATGTGTGTGATAATCCATTAATCTCAGAACAAATTACACTTTTCCCAGCTTTGCTCAAACCTATAGATTAGAGAATTGCTAATGCTCAAGCCAGTCCTAAATAATGCCAGCAGTTTTCAAAGACTCTTGCCTAAAATTAAAAACATTAAAAGTAAGTCTTTTTATCATAAGCCTGGCATATCTTGAAGGAATTCTCCATTTTGAAGACATACTGTGCATTCTTAGCTCCTGCCTAAAAATAGGATTCCTACATGTCATTGAACTGAAGTGCTGTCCCTGCCCTTGCCATGTTAGATCAGGCCACTTGACTGGGCCTCTGCCTTGGTTTTATGATTTGCCTTTCAGTCCCCTAACACTGACTAGAATTTTAGCTGCAAAGTGGTCATCTTCTCTGACTCTTACCAATCCCCCCTACTGCATTTATATTCCAGGCAGTAGTCAGGTCTTCCTCAAACTGAGATGGACAATGTCAATCATAATGCAAGACTTTTAGCTCCAGGAGAGTTAAAAGGGTGGAATTTTCAATTCCACTCTGCCTTTATCCCCAACTTCAAATCACCATATTGTGCTGATCACCATGGAACCAACAGAGAATGAGGACTGGCTTGGCAGGGGAAATAACAGTTTCTGTTTTAGAGAAAAGGCCCACTTTTCACCCCTAGATACTCAGCAACCCTTGCCAATGAAGCACCCTCAGATCAGGGGAGAAGGTTCTTTATAATCTCTGGAATGAAGGGAGACTTTTGAAAGTTGTGGTTCTGGTTCAAGTGGAAAGAATATTAGGATTTAAAGACGTGGTTTCGTTTTTAGGTTCTGCTGCCTACTTTGACCATTTTTTCAACTAGGAAATGCAAATAATACCTACCTCACGGGGTTGTTGTGAAAATTAAATAAGGGAATGAGTATGAAAGCACTACGTAAAATGCACGTATCAGCCGTTATCATTATGATTATCCTACTAATGCCCCCGTTTCCACTGCAGCAAATATTACTACTGTTCAGGGTGAGGGGTGAATATTATAAAGCTAATCATTCAGATTCATTCAAAAGACCATTCACTTTTGTTTTATCATATTAGCAGAGGTTATTTTATTCTAATCCTATCTATATCAAGTTACATTTTGGACAGAGCTCAGTCTGATCGAACCTGCCAATATCAGCTTGGCTCTACTTAAAGATTCATTCAACCACCTTCTCTGAAAGCACAAGCCAACATTTGTGTGTATCTGTATCATAAATCATATGCTAACAAGATGCCAAAAGCAGTCACCTCTTTTATGAATCAGTCATTGATTCTCAAGACTGAATTAGCCCCTTCTTCTTCTATTTTCCATCATATGTTGCCAACCCTGTGATAGCATTTATAAAATGGCATTATAATGGTGCATTTGACCTTCTACAAGAGATTGTGAGCAACTCTAGGGTAGAGATTTACTCTTTGTATTCGCATTCATGGCACACAGTAGATAGCCAATACATGTTTATTAAAATAAAAGAGGGAGAGCTGGGCGCATTGGCTCACGCCTGTAATCCCAGCACACTGGGAGGCTGAGGTGGGCGGATCACCTGAGACTGGGAGTTCAAGATCATCCTAGCTAACATGGAGAAACCCTGTCTCTACTAAAAATATAAAAAATTAGCTGGGCATGGTGGCACATGCCTGTAATCCCAGCTACTCAGGAGGCTGAGGCAGGAGAATTGCTTGAACCCCAGAGGCAGAGGTTGCAGTGAGCCGAGATCGTGCCATTGCACTCTAGCCTGGGCAACAAGAGTGAAACTCCATCTCAAAATAAATAAATAAGTAAAAATAAAGGAGGGAGTAGAAGGAGATCCACACTATAGGGGAAATTAGCCCTTAAATCGCTACATTGCTCTAGCATATTTTAGGTATGCAGGAATTTCAAATAAAAGAGAAGCAAAATAAAGAAAAACCATTCTTTCCAAAAATCTCCAGTTTACTTTCCTATAGCATGTTTAAAAGGTGTTATCAGTTGTTCGTAAGTGCAATATAAATTAGGCTAATTATTCCAAACACTTCACATTAGAGATACGTGAAAGAAGAAGCAGTTTATTTGAACCTCTCAGCTCTTGAATGTCCTGTGCCTTCTGGAGAAAGAGAGAGCTCATTTTTATTTAGAGAAAAATCCAGCATCACATATAGAATATAGATGTGTTTGTGAGAAAGAACACCAGAGAGGGAGGAAATTTTCTCATTTGGAAAGTTGTTCCTATAAGAATTTTAATTATACACTTTCAAATAATAACATCACCTATCTTGATATCATATAATCCCTTCTTGGTTATCTTGCTTGATATTTAAGTTTAAAACTAGCCCAAGTAACCCTTGGATTAAATGCCAATGAAAATTCTGTGCTATTGCACACACTTTTGAAGGCACTGCTACCACTGGAAAACACGATTCTCCTGGGTTAGGTAACAGATCAGGGCTTCAGTGACTACTCTACTGCGCTTCAGTCAAGCATCACAAATGTTGACATGTATCCCTGAGAGTCTTGTGGAAATGCAGATTCTGATTCAGTGGGTATGATTCAGTGGATCCAGGTCATGTACAAAGGGTCAGAAATAAGACGATTTCTGACCTTTTAACATTTCCAGGTGATGCCCAGCTGCTGATCTGCAAACCACATATTGAGTAACAAAGTTATCATAGACATGGCGATTTTTACAAATTCACTATCAGTGACATTTTTTAAAGTCATCTACCACTGTATTTCCCCTATGTCAGTGGTTATGAAAATTTTCCACTTCACACCTCTTACTTAACAGAATAACAGCTTTAATAAACAGCTTTGAAACACTGAAGCTTTTCGTTAGTCCGAATTTAACCACTATGCAAAATGTGGCTTATGTAATGATTAAGAAATGATAATGTCCTTAGCAGATGAGGTAAATTATATTTAAGCTACATTTTTTTTCTTCAAAAAGTCCGTTTTCTATGGCTCACCATGGGAATAAAAGGGATTCTCATCTCATGTGAGCATTTCCTAGTAATGAGATGGCTCTTGGGATAATTTAACTGGCCAGGAGAGCCAATCCAGACAGCCCTTAATCAGTAATGACAAATTGAAGCACCTTAAAAGTAAAAGAAGTTGTGTTTTCCAGCGCTTGCCATATTAGAGTTTAGCCATGCCCTAGAGTTATAAAACTGCTTCCTCATCAATCCATTCTCCATGCCACTAACATTACTTATTTTGGCTGAGCATTCAAGAGTTGAAATTTTAAACTAAATGATAGAAGAACTATACTTCCTAGACAGCATACATTCTGCCATGGCAGTACTGAAAACCTGAAGACTCTCACACTCAGTCTGAAAGTCTTCCCTCTCATTGTCCCCTTCTCACTAATCCTCTTTCTTTCTCAGTTCCCTTCCCTACCTTAATCAGTTGATATGCTGTATAAAGTTGTGGATGAAGTAAATTTCATGAGGAAAATTATATTTTAAGTGCACTTAACAAAAATTACTTTTTGTGATGGATTCTATATAAAGAAATAAATCATTCTTTGTAAACAATCATTCCCCAAATATCTGTTAACAAATGTTTCAAGTTCTTATCTCATTATTTTAAAGCAGAATATATCTGTACTTTCACTTTATGCATCACTTTAAGTACTTGTGTTTTGTTTAATTGACAAAGGGAAACTAACACCCGTGAGATTAGTGAAGGATCTGGGGCTAGCAAGAGAAGTAGGTGGCTACTAGTAGTAGGGCTGAAAGATAATGGAGAGATCCATTATCTAGAATCCAGAAAGACCTGTGGTTATAGGAAAAAGACACCCCGTGCCCTTGGACACAGGAATATAACCACTTTCCTTCCCTTCCAGGTTTGGCCAAACCAAACCCTGAATTGACCATGTCAATAGAGGTCAGACTCCTGAAACACAAAGCAGGAGAGCAGGGTAGAGAAGCATGTAGATAGAACTTGTAAGGCTGTGAAAAGAGCACTGGGCACAGTGGCAGGTATAGGTAACATATAGGAAGTAGGAGAGTTGAGGGAACATTCACTTACTGAATGCTGAGACCATTAATCCCTTCCCCACAGTCACAGTAGCCAGGCTTCAATACTCCAGGCAGGAGATTGGATGGTTCATCTCTAGGGGATGAAAAAGAAATGAAAAGCTAGATTAAATATTGGAACACTAAATTGAGAAAAAAAATACTTAATGTAAAGCAAAAAGACAAAGAAATTAAAAATCAGAGGATAAGAAAAGTGAGGATGAAGCCAACAGTTCCAACATGAATAAACAGTTATAGAGTCCCAGAACATGAAGGGTGATAATGAAGGAGAAGAAATCATCAAAAAATAAAATTCAGCAAAACTTTCCAGATGGATTTCCAGATTGGAAAGACCTGCCGACTATGCAGCACAATAGATTAAATCAGGCCCTCACCAAGGGAACTTTACCATAGAATTTAACAGCATGGAGACAAAATGAAGATACTGTGAGCTTCCAGAGAGGAAGAAAAAACAGGTCATATACAAAGGATCAGAAATGAGACTATTTCTGACTTTCTAACAGCAAAATAAGAAGCCTGTAGGCAATGGAGCAATACCACCAAACTTTTGAAGGAACACAATACCCAACCTATAATTCTACACTTAGCCAAGTTATCAATTAAAAGACTTTTTCAGATATGCAAAAACTGAAAATTTTATCTCCTAGCATCTCTTTCTCATTTGGTTACTGAAAAATGTGTTATATCAAAATGAAGGGTATAAACCAGAATAGAGGAGGAAGTAGAATACAGGAAACATAAAACTCAGAGACAAACATATGCCAGAATGACCCATATGCACCATGCAGGGAAAATCACCAGTCCAATTCAGAGAGATTTCTTCAGAAAAAAATAAAATACCTGAATGCATTAGGGAGAATTGAGATAATTAATTAGGGAGAGAAGTTGAGTTAGTGATAAGTATGTATAAAACTAGGTAACTATAACATAAGGCAATTATTAGTATCAGAAAAAATATTTTGCGAAAAACAATCACAATACATGATGCAGCTCAGTTACAGATAGTGTTTACACGGTTATACTAATGTAAATAGTGAAGATTGAAGATCGCACTAACTTACAAGAGGAAGTCTGACTATGTGACGACGGAGGAAAAAAGAGAACGGAATTTTCATTTTTCTTTCTGGAATGTCAATCAATAATATTTATACACGGAAAATCAAGAAGTAAGAATAAAAGCATATTATTTAGGGAAATGAAGATAAATACTCAGATATAGCTAAAAGATCATTGTAGTTTTCTGTATAATTTGCACAGAAATAATAAGCGGACATATTTTTCTGCATTCAAAATGTAATGAAAATGTTAAAATAAATTTAAAATATAAAAATAAATTTCAAAATTTTAAAGATAAATAATATAGGATATTTCTGTCGCCTCTCAGGTATGATAGTTCACAAATTACAGCATGCAATTCTTGTCTTTCTTTACATGATTGTTTTTAATATATTTAATTGCAAAGGGAAATGTATGCTTTCTAATTATTTCATAAACCATGATTAAATCGAACGTTAGCACTGACGTAAATGATTCCTCTTATTCTTTTGTCTACTAAAACATGAATAAAGAACCTCGATGCATCTTTGAAAATTTCTACAATTTCTAACATTGATTAATCTTTGTACCATGTTTAGATTATTACGCCTTGAAATTCTCCTTGAAAGTTGGCATTACCCTTAATGAAATACTGGAAGTTTGAAATAATGGAAACTCCTTACTATATAATAGATGAAAATTACAACTTTTTCCTAAAACTGACTTTCTTTGTCAAGACTTTGATTAACAGTTTCTAATAATGACATTTTCCCAGGACAATTTGAAGATTATACTTTAGAATTCTTAATTAAGTTCTGTTGCTTCAACATGCCAACACTACAGCATATCAACAATGTGAATTTTTTCCTCCACTTTGTATAATGCATCTTAAAATCTATGATAGGAAAAATTTATCGTACTCATTTCACCAATCTCCTAACTAGAAAAAAAAATAAGATGATATGGCTTCATACTGTGCTTAGAGAGTGGACAGAAACTGAGAACTATGCTAAGAAAATATAAAGATTTACTTAAAATTCATTTGCATAGTAACGTGAAAATATATGTCCATGACTATTTAAGTTATGAAAAAATGAATAGGAGAATAGAAGTGAAAAAACATAATTATCAATTCCAAATCAAAACATGAAAAAATAATACCAAGCTATTTGATTCACATTTTATATGTATTAGTTTATATAATCTTAAAAAGAAGCCTATAAAATAAACACTATTACTATAGTAATTTATTTTACAAATAATGAAACCGAGACATGAAAGTGAAGAAATTTACCTTGCTAAGCCGGGCGCGGTGGCTCACGCCTGTAATCCCAGCACTTTGGGAGGCCGAGGCGGGCGGATCACAAGGTCAGGAGATCGAGACCATGGTGAAACCCCGTCTCTACTAAAAACAGAAAAAATTAGCCGGGCACAGTGGCGGGCGCCTGTAGTCCCAGCTACTCGGGAGGCTGAGGCAGGAGAATGGCGTGATCCCGGGAGGCGGAGCTTGCAGTGAGCCGAGATTGCGCCCCTGCACTCCAGCCTGGGCGACAGAGCGAGACTCCGTCTCAAAAAAAAAAAAAAAAAAAAAAAGAAAAGAAATTTACCTTGCTAGAAAGTTGTAAATATGGAAAGTAAAAGTAAACCCAAACATCTTTGAGCAGAAACTATCCTTTAAGTCACTATTCTAAAACAATTTATAGTTAACCTTTAGCTAATTATGGTATGCCAACAGATTTCATTTGTGTAGTAAAAATATAAGAACAGTTTATCTTTCTCCTCACTCATTTTCAACTTCAATGCTGTTATGCATTTTCTCCAATGTTTGTGATCCAGTCCTAGTCTAGCTTTAAGGAAAAAAAAAAAAGCAATTAGAGCCAAGATGGCCAACTAGATGCAACCAGGAAGAGCTTCGACCACCAAGAGAGACCAGACCATCAAGTAGACCAGGATATTCTGAACAGATTTTTAGAAAATAAGGAATTTTAGAAAGAAGACATACAACAGATGCAAATCCTAGGATGATAGGGGAGGAGTCTGGGAACGCTGTGGTTGGTTGCCAAACACCAGGACTTGTTCCTGGCCCTGAGAAGCTCCTAGGAAAGGGGTGAGTGAAATGGGTGTGGAGTGGCCTACTTTCACCATGGACCTCCATGATCCTAGCTATGGGAGACCCCACAATTCCCAAGCACATTTGAGCTGGCAGCGAGAACTGTCTAGCAAGTTGGCAGAGACAGAACTCCAGCCTGTGTGGAGCCCAGAGGGTTTGGCCTGGGACTGGCTGCAGTGGAGCATGGCCATGGGCGTCCATCCCCCAAGACTCACCATACTCCTCTAGGTGACTTTAGGCTTTGTTATTAATAGCTGCCAGAACTGGACAGAGCAAGACTGTCTTGCCCACGTGAAAGAAACAATCTGATCTGAAAACCCCCGTCTTCTGGCCTCTCCCAGGATTCCTACCTGGCTGAAGCCACTTGCAGCACAACCAGTGCCATAGCTCTTTCACCAGCATACCCCACCTAATCACTGGAGTGCTTCTGCAAATGGACATCCACCAGCAGACACCAACCCACAGCCTTCCCCAACCAGTGTGCAATCACCTGCAACCTCCCCCCTGCCCTGCCCTGCCAGCATACATGTGTGTGCAGACCTGCCACCACCTTGCCAGCACAGATGTGCACGGGAGCCCACCACTGCACCACCGGAGCGCTTTTCCCAGCAGCCCCATCAGAGTGTTATTGCTAGCAGACTTGGAACACTCTGACCTCTCCAGCATATCAGTTGCTTAAACCTCAAAAGGCCAGAGAATAAAGCTGTGGGTTTGGTACCAGTCTCCTGAGTTTACAGCATGTAGCCTAGCAGTGCTGAGTTGAGTCTTGGCCTCCTGAAACCATCCAGAAATGAAGCCAATTGACTAAGCCCAACTTACACTGCAGTCAAACCCCCAAGGACCTCAAGGAATATAAAAGCAAAAAGGCTCATACAAAAGACAGCAACTTCCAAGATTAAAGGAACATCAGCCCACACAAATGAGAAAGAATCAGTGCAACTCTAAAAGTCAAAGTGTCTTCTTACCTCCAAACTACGGAACTAATTCCCCATCAATGCTTCTTAACCAGACTGAAATGGCTGAAATGACATAAAATTCAGAATCTGGATGGCAAGGAAGCTCATCAACACACAGGATAAGGTTAAAACCCAATCCAAGGAAAACAGTAAAATGGCCCAAGAGTTTAAAAATGACATAGCCATTTTAAGAAAGAACCAAATTGAACTTCTGGAAATGAAAAATGTACTACAGGAATTTCAGAATGCAATTGGTAGCATTAATAACACAATAGACCAAGCTGATGAAAGAATATCAGAGCTCAAAGACAGTTCTTTCTAATCAATGCAGGCAGAAAAAATAAAGATACGAGAATTTTTTTTTTTTTTTGAGACATAGTCTCGCTCTGTCACCCAGGCTGGAGTGCAGTGGCGTGATCTTGGCTCACTGCAAGCTCCGCCTCCCGGGTTCACACCATTCTCCTGCCTCAGCCTCCGGAGTAGCTGGGACTACAGGTGCCTGCCACCACACCAGGCTAATTTTTGGTATTTTTGTAGAGACAGGGTTTCACCGTGTTAGCCAGGATGGTCTCGATCTCCTGACCTCATGATCCACCTGCCTCGGCCTCCCAACGTGCTAGGATTACAGATATGAGCCACCGCACCCGGTGAGAATTTTTTAAATGAACAAAACTTCCAAGAAATATGGTATTATTTAAAGAAAGCAAACCTACAAGTCACTGGCATTCCTAAAAGAGATGGAGAGATAGAAAGACATTTGGAAAACTTACTTGAGGATATTGTCCACAAAAATTTTCCTAAGCTTGCTAGAGAAGTCAACATGCAAATTCAGAAAATTGAGAATCCTTGCAAGATACTATACAAGATGACCATCCCCAGACACACAGTCAGCAGATTCTCAAAAGTCAACATGAAAGAAAAAAATCTTAAAAGCAGCCAGAGAGAACGCACAGGTCACATAAAAAGAGAATGACA